AGAGAAAGAGAGAGAGAAAATTTAAATAAGAGGGAGAAGCACAGGTGTTTGCACATTGTTTGATTCGTCACATCTTGTATATGCGCGACACAAATGATCAATAGAGTATGATTGTTTCTTAATGCTCAATGACGTTATACGTAATAATACCAAGAAACTTGATAAACTTTGATCCGTGGATTCTCCGATTAATTTGTAATCCCCCCCCAGGTTTTCTTTAATACAAGGTTGATGACGTGTCTTGTTCTTTTTTCTTGTCATTGTTGAAAATTATAAATGGAAAGATAGTTTAGCTCTGAAGTATTTCAAACATTATCTATATACAGACCTGAAAATAATTTGGCCCATCAAAATAATTACGTTGGAATCTCGAGCATGATAAGCAACACTGCAACAAATTTTGATATTTTAGCAACCAGTTTGAGCATCCTACATAATTATTTTAATGGTTCGAACAAAATTATTTTCAGATCTGTATCTAGCTAAATTTTGAAATATTTTAACAAAATTGTTCTTTCCGTGTAGATGATTTGCTAACGGAATCCTCCATTAAAATTTCATTAGACTACTGGAAATGAGACAAAAACAAGATTATATGATATTACAGTGCAATACATATTAAACCTTTTGATACGAATGTTACGAACTTAAACTGCTGTAGTAGTAATTAGAAAAATCGAACAGGTTTTATTATAAAGAAGGCTCCAGTTGTGAAGAAGATTGAGGGATCGCTGTCCCTACTGAGGTTCGTCTAAGGATGATAATCTCCGAGGAACTCCCCTTGATCGAGAGATCTTCATGCAATCTCGAGTCTCCCATGTATTTGAACGACGGCGTGAGAATCCAAACCGGCTGGCCGATGGTGGTACTTGTACTACGACTCGCACAATGGGATCTCGCGCGAATCTCATCTTGGACGATATAGCTATGACGAGACAGGTCCAGCCACAGGCAAACAAACCAGACAGATAAACCGGCCGTCCTTCCGTGCGCGCAGTGAAATTTAAATAAGCGCTCCCGGTTACACCCCGTCGCGCTGTTCCCTTCACAAAACTTTCATATCGCATTCTTGCGCGATTCGACCTTTCGTTTAAGAGACGGCAACTACGACAACGACAGCGGTATATCCATCCTATCGGAGTAAAAGGGAGGGAGATAGCTCGCGGAGCCCCTATGGCCTCGATACGCGAATGCCCGTGAGAGAAGTGCTTGCCTTCCCTTCTTTGCTGCTTCTCAAGTAGTATTACGTACGCTAGCATCATGTGTGTTGTCTCGTCATCGTCATCATTATCATCATCCACGTTTCGCCTACGTCGTCCTTCTCGCCACGTGGATAGAACGTTGTTTATCGATTCGTCCTGTCTTGTCATTTCGCTGCCGTTCCTCAAACTCATGATGAAAAAATATCAGGTGTAACAGTATCCCGTAGATGTATAATCATTCAAATTCTTGTAATCGATCAGAAATTAATCAAAGTAATTCAGTCGTTATTATGCGCAATGTTATATACACCTTGTATTCTTACATCATGTCTAAACTGAAGATTCTTCTTCTTCTTTTTTTCTTTTTTCTTCTCAGATTTTTCAGACTCAATTGAGTCTCAGTGTGATGTAATAAACTTGAGGGAGTGAACTTCAAAGGGAATAAAATCCATCCAGTTTGTGTGTTTTATTGCATAACAATACAAAAGTTCTTCCTCAGAAGAGATCCTCAATAATGTTATCTCCGACCCAATAAAAAGGAAATCTCTCAACTAGAGATTCTATTAGATTAGACATTACAGAATGTTTATTTTCGAGAAAGGAAAAAATATGTGTTATATTGTTTCGACTAACGCGAATGGTTAAGAAATGGTGGATCAATCAAAAGCACTCTGATGTCCAGTCGCTGTTAAAGTCCTGTAGTTCAAATTATGGATCATGATGACATTATGCACCCACAATTGTTGCGTTACACCGTTCGTAAAAACTATGCAAGAAAAAACGAAAAGATATTTCGCATGCGTAATACGCGGAGAAAGGGAGGAGAGTAGATCAACGCAGGGCAGAGGGAGGAATGAGAAACGAGTCAGAGGGGCGGTATACGCAAAGGTTGCGAAACGATCAGTTGCGCTTGATCGAGTTCGAAATCGATTTGCGAAAAAAGGTCACGCAAATCTCGCTTACTTGCGTCAATCACAGCCAATTCTACGGGCAATCGTCGAAGTTTACTCAAATTTATTTCTAATTAATTTGGTAATCAATATCGTTGGCTTTAGGAGGAGCACTTTCAGGATGGACACGCAAAACTGTTATAGACCGTTTACAATGGGAATAATACTGTGTAGTAAGCCGCAAGAAATTGATCAATCACAGTCGGTTATCCTCCTTTGACTATGATTGGTCGATTTTTTACACAGAAAAATATTCTATTGTTAAGAAAAATGATTTCTTAATTTACTCTCTTCCTTTTAAGTAACTGTTATCTTTGACAAAGAATATTTTCTTGATTTTAAAATATACTTTAAAATATACTTATTACAAATTATAGAAAAACTTATTATGTACTTAAAACATGAATTTATTTTCTTCTGAAAAATGATCGAAGAAACTACTCAATATAATAAATAAATCGAATTTGTTTTGAATGTAATAATCTTAATTAAAGTATTAAACTTACTAGGAATTAGAATCTATTTTAAATAAATTTAATATTTGTAATGAACTTATAATAGATTTGTAAATATATATATAAACTTTTAAAATACTTGAAACAAGTAATTATTATTTGCATATAGTATGTATTTTTCTATGTGTACGACTTACTACAGCATATTACTCTCATTATACTCCCACGCCTTTACAAACATGTATGTTTACTTTACTCGCTATACTGTCAAGATAATATTGCATTAACTCGTTTGTTAAGGAAAGAATTATTTATAGGTCATTGCATATATAGTACATGCTGTTATAAGTATGAGAAATTAATGCATATGTATTTTTTTATTATTATTTAAATATAAAATATCGAACGTTGGCAATGGCAAAATTTTTTCTATTTTTCCTCTTCTTTATAATGATAATAAGAACTTTGTGCGTACATACAAAATTGATTTACAGATAAATTGGATAATTATAAAGAGTGTAAATAAAAAATGTATTTGTAAAAAATAAAACACCAGCAAAACTGCATTTATTTTTTACGGTTTTTTATAATACTTACATTTATATGCTGCAATAAAAACAAGATAATTACGGCACAAGGTAAGATAAATCATACAGCAAAAACACGGAACAGAACAAAAAAAGAAAGAAAAACTAACCGCAAAACAGAACGCGAATCAAATGAAACGTAAACAGATCTTAAATGACACTATGTGTACTATATACGGAAAGGACGGTTTTTTTTCTGAAATTCTAACAATTGAACTAGATATAAATTTGAAAATAATTTTGTTGGACCATTAAAATAATTATGTGGGATGTTCAAACTGCTTGCTAGAATAAATAGAAATAGAATAAAACTTTTTATACAGCATTGCTCTTCATGTTTGAGATACCAACGTAATTATTTTAATGTCTAACAAAATTATCTTCAGATCTATGTACATCTAGCTTTTTTTAGATAATTTAGCAAAATTATCCTTTCCGTGTATGTAAGTACTGGTTGAGTCTAAAACAATTAATATAAAAATAATATTTTATTATCTCTTTGGAATAGTAGTATAATAACGTTCCAAAGAGGGAAGATTAAACCACAGTTGAGTTTACTCTCCCATCACCGTCGTGAAATCTGGCCTGAAAGTTAAACCCGCTGCCCTTTGCACTTTGCGCTTAGCGCGGCTACATCGATCCGAGATCGCTCGAATTCCTTTATAATCTGACGGCGTCATCGAAATGCCATCGTCGTGCTACCGGCGACAATCCGATTAGGATCTGTTTACTCCTAGACGCGCGCTCCGCTCGCAGGTATTATCTTCTCCTCGGTCTAATTCGACGTCGGACGATAATCGGTAGTCGTCGGGGACAGCTATCCGCGAATTACGCGCTAATTCCGCAAACGACGACACGCTTCGCGCTTCTATCGCCGCAATGTTCTCGTTTCGCAACGTCGGGGATCGATTTCGTGCCCAATGCACATGCAGCGAGCGAGAGAGGAGCGCAAACGAGCCGAGACTTGTCGCTCGATATAAATGACGTTATCGCGAATATATTATACTTCGACGCGGTGTTCGGTCCATATAATTTAATATAAAACGCATAAATGTCATCGGTACTTATGCGGCAGTAAACAATTCGCACCCTTGTCATTTTACTATCTACTCACATTAATATTTAGCGATGTTTGTACCAGTGTTACTTATTGAATCCATAACTGGAACATGTGGATCCTGGTATTCCTGGAACTTTTCCTAATTTTTAAATAACGACTGGAAATAATTTTGTATTTCACAATTTTATTTTTTACAATTTTAACCTTAAAAAAAAATAAAACCAATAACAAAAGCTTTAGTAAGTTTCCAAGAACCCATATATTTCTTAACGTTAGAAAATATATTTGTTTTTGTATGAATTAAATCTAGATTAGCATTTAAGTATTGCGACATTAATGTGCTTTATTGATTCGAATATATGTTGAAATTAGAGAAAATACCAATATGAATATTTTATTTAATGAAACGGTTCGAGTGGAATTAAATTTAGAAGCACACGTTGAAAACATTATTGTTTCGTAAAACTTTCTAGTTTAAGTGAGAAATAAAGAGAGAAGTAAGTGAAATTGACGAACAATGAGGCAGACATTAAATAGATAGCTGAACAGATACATAGGTGAACTTCATGTATTATATATGGCGGGTATACTTGCAGCTATAAGAGAAAAAAAAGAGAGATATATACAACAGATCCGTGCAGAGACGTTATACGCACAGATACATCGCCGCATAGGTCGCCGTTTTGTAATTTAATGCGATCTTATTAAGAGGACGACGACTAACGCGCTCTGCGTTCTGATTTCAGCGTCTCAGCATTCCAGCCATCAACGGAGTGGCCAGATTCACCTTCAGCATCTCCAGCAGCCAGGACATGGAGGGTTCCCAGGGTGGTTTCGAGCTTGCCCAACAGACCGGTCCTAAGTACGTATTGATTATCACGGTATAACGAGAGCTTGCGAGATATTTTATGCATTACGTTCGTACGTTCAATGTATCGACATGAAAATATATCTTAATACGAGAGAGACTCGAAGTTGCTAAGAGCCGCGACGTAAATCACTTTACGTCTATTATTTATTAACCAGATGGTCTAATTCCTCGATGTTATTTTGTAGCGTTCGTAGGAAAGCTAGATAGATAGATAAATAGAGAAATTTTATGTATGTCACAGCAGTTATCAGATTCGCTATAACTGCAGAGAAATAATGCCTCGGTGAATGGACTCAGTACGCGATCCGGTAATTTCGAGTAATCTTCCGTCGTAAGCGCCGTAACGTAATCCGCAATCTAAATCGAGCGACGTAAAAACTTTGGAGCATCCTTGAGCAGGTGGTTTTATCGCGGCAACTTGACACACTAAAGCGCTGTTAGTGAGCTAGCAGGTGTCGACTACTGACGACTACACTCGTGAACGGTTATGCTTGCGTCAGCAGAACCGATTCAGTAATACTGGCTACTAGTACTTACCGCGTCCGATGGTACGATCCGGTGATTTGACGAATTGATATTAAAAACGTAACATGCCGATGATAAATTGAGCTTCGATTTGCTCATCGATTCATTTCTGATTGCTTTACTTTATTTTCCGAACAACAATAAACCGATATGTTGTATACGTGTAGTTCGCGTATAAATATGACATAATGTATTATATACATATAAAGGCATACATATAAATTATATATAACGTATCATCAATAAATACAATAACGATAATAGCAATAATACTAATAATACTTTGGCAAAATAACTTCAGCAAAAGAGTCGCGTCTTAATTCTGTTTATACAACTTATATTTTTAAATCTTATATACACCGAAAGAACAATTTTGCTAACGTAATAAAAATTTAATTAGATACAGATTTGAAAATAATTTTGTTGGACCATCAAAATAATTTATTGGAAACTCACAAACTAGTTGCTATAGAATATCAAAATTTATTCCAGCATTGCTTATCACGCTTAAGTTTTATAATTTTATTTTCAGTCTGTATTTAGCTAAAAGATACTTTAGATAAATCCATCTTTCCGTGTTCATTAATTTAATATTAAAACATGCGGGTTGAATTGCTTGAAGAATTGCCTCTTATTCTGATTCTTGTCATTTTCTTCTTATTTTCTCTTTTTATCTTCTCATTATCTTCTTGCTCTTCTTTCTTGTAGAAGCCTCGAGAGCCTCGGCGCTATACCGTACAAGATGCGGATACAGGCAAACGATGACGTTTACGAGACCACCAGGCACAGAATGGCGGTCGTCGAGGAGAATAACAAGAACAAATGGTAAGGATACTCCCTGGAGGAGTGGAACATATAGCCGTCGGCGACCGTTCGATCCTCCGAGCGAAGGATCTCTTTTCTTTTTGGAAAAACACGACCGCTTTCTTTTCTTTCTATTTTCAGGACTTTCCTCCGCGAAACGCCGCGGAATCGTAAATAATCCTTGCTTCGTGGTCTTACTCTTACAAACTTTCGCCCGTAGATACGGTCTCCTAACGGATGTTCGCGCGATTCACGAAGGAATTTACGAGGTAGCCTCGTGCGCGCATACGTCCCTGCGATATCGTGAGAATTTGTAGAATATCGCCCGAGGATGTACTTTTAGTTGACGGACGTACCTTGAATAATAGCACGTTGTCGCACATGGGTGGGGTTTACGTTATCTATAAATATTCAGGGATTTTTTAAATATTCAGAGACACGTGTAGAAGATACATCACAGAGACGAGCGTTCGCATCCATTGACAGAATAAATGATGCTTGTATATAACGATAAATATCTTTATCGATATGTTGCGCGCTTAAAAAATATTGTTTATTAATATTATCAAAATTTATTATCAGAAAACACAGATGTTTATCTAAATTTTTACAGACAAATGGATTTTTAAGATTCGAGTAAAGCTTCACACTGTCTCTCTCTCGTCTGACTCTGCATCATCGACTATATAAGAAGTTTCCTATTTTGCGGAATGTTTCCTCTGCTTCAGGTGATGCTATATTTAGCGACATACAATCACAACAATGTTGTTTGTCGCGGTACTACGAGACTTATTCATTCAATTTCGGAGCAGTCACCTTTTATCCTACGCTTAATAAATACATCGAAATACAAGACAGTATTCGTGATTTTGTCTAACTTCTGTTGCTTCGTCCGTTCGACTTAGCCGATTCTGGGACTCCTATTATTCCATTTCTAAACCGCCCACAGCTAATTTATTTAGTCGTCACGGCCAAGGCTAAGAGCGCCTCACAAGTGCGATTTCGTCACGCCTGAACCCTTTTCCGCCTCTCTTCACCGTTGCAGTGCTTTGTCGTGGCGTGCACTTACGCGCCGTTTACGTCAAAGAAAATTGCATAATCAAACAATCGATCGGACCCCTATGTCAGTGATGTTGCAAATTGTATTAATTGTATGAATAAAAGTGTGACGTGTCGCGCGAAGACTGTTTCGTATATAAATACACGGGAAATGAAAGAGTCTGTTGCTACGAAATATATCATCCTTGCCGAATGACATGACGAAATAAATTATGCTGTTATACATATTTCCTCTAAATAAATATATTAGAAATATGTAATTTTTTTTATATTAATATTTTTTGATAAGTCAAAGTAAGAACATAAATGCTTTTTACCTTTTTTTTTATTTTAATCGGTTTTTTTTTTCAATTTTTTAACATTACTTAACTAAATAACACATTAGGATATCATACATTTTTACAAGGTTGGAAAGTTACTTTATAAGTTATTTCTAAGTTACTTTTTAGATTACCTTATATGTTTGTTATAGAAATTAAATACAAAAAGTAATACAAAATTGAAACGAATGATAAAATATAACATAAAAAATAAAATACCCGAACTAATTGTACTTAATTTCTATAATAAAAAGTAAATTATAAGTAACTTGTAAGGCAACTTTTCCAACCCTGCATTTTCATTTATTTCAATGGAAATTATGTTGCTCTTTCAGCACGAGGGTGATCAAGGCGAATGGTCCAGATATCGGACGCAAGGTGAAAGTGAAAGGAACCGGAAGAACAATACCTCCTCCGTCATCATCGTATGCAAGGCATCGGGAATCTACGATGAGCATTCCAACTTCCGGCAATAGTCAGCCCAAAGTCTCAACCAACAAGCCGATCGCTAATAGTAGTAGTAATAGTAATAGTAGTAACCATCTATCGGCGGCTCACAATCAGGAGAAAAAACCAGTTTCTGACATTATGCGCAGGCCACTTAAGTAAGTGTCTTGGTATAAGAGCATGAGAATAAGTCATGCTCCGATAAAAAATAAACAAAGACAGAGAAAGAAACAACTATAATCTTCCGCAAATTAATTGAGCTATAATCTTCTGTACATTAATGAGACGAAAGCTAGTCAAATTTGATGCTGAATGTACAAATCAATAGGGAAATTTATTAAAAGTTATATCTCTTAGAAAAAGATTTTAATGTGCTTTGAATTTTTTTCTGTGCATAGGGAAAGATTTACGAACGCATCAAAAAAGGTAAAATAAGATTGGAATGTTTTCAATTACTCGGAATAGACAATATTGATATATGTGTCGACAAATTCCAGAGGGTTTGAGAGAACGAGAGCGACCCGTCATGCAGACGCTTCTAAAGCAAGTAGCTTACATGCGTGACAACACGTATCATCTGTACAGGCACATCTGGAACGATGTGCAGGAGGATTGGCCTTTCTACACCGAGCAGGAAAAGACAATGTTGAGGAGGCGGAAACCTCAAAATCTTACTCCACCCGGCTCGAGCGACGGCGGTTCCAGCGGTACGTGTACTAGTCGCTATCAACACGTTATTTGCATATATAAATATGAAACTTTATTTTTAAATAACACATCTTTTGTATATGTTTACACTCTTAGGCAGTGGTCAATCACCCAATTCCATTCATGCGGGCTCACCGCCGGCGATCTCGGCACCCCCGCCCAATTTGGTTAGCAACAAAAGACCAGGATACTATCAGGGTAACGACGGGCTACCAACGAAGAAGCCGCGGATATCGCATTATAAGAGACCTGAGCCTATCTCCTTCATCCCCGCTGGCGAAAGGCTATCAGGCAGCAGCAGTTATAGTAATAATAATAATAGTGGTGTTAGTGCAACCGCTGGTGGCGACCGTATCGTCGATCGTACCACCGGTGTTAATAGTGGTTGTGGTAACAGCAATAGTGGTGATGGTAGTAACAGTAACAACGGCGGTAGCGGTTTCGATGGTTGGGAATCGAGGCAGCAATTGCAGCGTGAACGCAGCAGCAGCAACCGCGTCGATTACCGGGCCGAAAGGACAGCAAACAGTGATGTACTACGGAGTACTGGAAACGTCTATAGTGAAGTCTCCGCTATCACCACAATTCCACCAGACTCCAATCGATCATTGTGCTTGACACCGTTGTCGCCTGATGATAGTGAAAGGGGCAACCATCATCCGAATGGGGATAGACACGACGGCGGTATCATTATAGCCAATGAAATTGCGAGCAACGTGATCGACCACACCGACAGGAGAGACAGGAGCGATAGGAGTCGAGGCGCGAGAGAAGAGAGAAACAGAGAGAGAGAATCCAGGAATAGGAGTAGTACTGCCAGTTATGCAGGTATCTACGGTGAAACCTCTAGCGCTCCTACTTATGCCGATAATGCCATTGGTATCGCTACGATCTCGCTGCCGACTGATGGATTCGAAAGGCTGGGAAGCACCGGGCAATATCTCGACTACCGCACGTAAGTATATTAGCTACGTTATCGATTATTACTAATTTGCGGAAGTAGTTTCAAATAACAATGAAAAACGATGTTCTTTTCATAGATTGTTATGAGTTAATTTAATATAATTTGTTGATCGATACAATATTTATGTAAAATGATTTGTCCAGGGAATATACAACAATAAGCAACCCGGAACAGAAAAGGCGTTACAAAGAAGAGTTCAACCTGAACTATGATGAATATCGTAGGTTGCACTCTCAAGTACTCGTAACCGCAAATCGCTTCACACATTTGTATACACTATTGCAAGATCAAAAGAAATCGGGCAACATGATCGAGAGTGAGGTACATATCGTAGACTTCTATCATAAATGATTCGATTGCGTTTATCGAACAGACAAGATCATATGGTGGAATTTTTTCTGATTTCAGGAAACTAAAGAACAGATATATCGCGAGTACAAAGAGACTAAACAGAATCCAGTATACCGGCAGATGAAGGAACGGTTTGACTATCTGCACAATAAGCTGAGCCATATAAAACGACTGATCTTAGAGTACGACAGTGAGAACGCCGCCGGCAGAATGTCGATTCCAAATACCATTGATAACGGTATAATTAGTAACTCCATGAACATCGGCAGCAACAACATCGGGGGTATCGATCATCGGCATTACTGACATAAACTGAAAAGACCGCCTCTTATTCCTCCCCTCTTCCTCGATACTGTCAACGTTGCCGTAGGATCTGCATTTTCCCGGCATGTTCTAAGGCTGATCTTTCACGGTCCATATGGTTCCTGTGTTCTATCGCCGGAAAGTCAAGTGACTCGAAATGGCTCGATGCAAGATCTCGTGTACAATATTTGTCATAAAACATGTTGTAATGATGAATATACATCGTACGCGAAATACTCTTCCTGCAAATCTTCCCCACGTCTCCGTTGCAAGAGTCGTCGATCGCGACAATTTCCACGACGGCGACGATCTCGCCGACTCTCGTCATCACGGTAAGGCTCGCGCGTCAACTTCGATCAATACTAATACTTGCATGAAAGCTGTTGACAATCGAGTACATTCAAGAGATAGATAAACAAGAAAGATATCCATTCGGAATAGAAAAATGGAAATAAGGGCATTCTGATGATCAGCGAACATAAAATTGTGGCGGGGACGTACGGAGATTTAAAGCTGGTCCTGTAACGACTGAGGAAGACATTGTAGAAAATCGAAGAGAGAAGAGGCGCAACGGGAAAGAAGTAGTTAAACTCTGTAATAAGTTACTTACCGTGCGCACGTCCAAGTGTGTCGTCCACTTTTAAGAGTACGTAAATAAAAAAAAGAAAAAAAAATGATATGATTGTGAGAAGAGGGTCCAAGAGATAATAAGGCTTACCGCGTGCCACGTCCGGGTTTCTTTTTGTCCGCCGGAAGGAGGAAAGAAAACTGGCTCGCAAAACACTTATAACATATACATGTATACTCTTTATCCATGAGCTGGCACGAATCTCTCGCTCGCGATTCGTGCGTTGCTCATCGCAACTTGAGAAAGGGCTTGAAAAAAAAAAAAGAAAAACGGGTTACCTTCCTATATGTGAGAGAGAGACCATAGTACTTCGTGAATTTAAGATTCTTTGTTACTTCTTCGTTCTTTTGTGCCTTCGCTGATATGTTCTATGATAATGTATTGATTATATCTGATAGGTATGGTCGGTTGACAAGAAAAAAAAACGAGACGATAAACAGCCTTAAGGAAAAAGAAAAGGAAAGCAAAAGAAATTTAATGGCCGCGTAAATTAACAACTCGAGCAAATAAAATTATATCATACATAATTTTAATTATTTTTTAAGTTGCGTAAACTAGTGAATTTTTTAAATGCCAAATCACCTTGATTTTATAATGGTTTTGATGATAAAAAGTTGTGGTATATATATACAATACGTTATGCAAGTTTTTCCATGGTTTTAAATTTTAATTATTGATGAGGAAAAAATTATTGATAAAGAAAGAAGCGTTCGGCGTAGTGTTTTTCCGTAAATAAGAAAAATTTTTAGAAAATGATTAATATGAGACATATAGTTTTTATAATAATCATCAATCATCATTAATAATTACTAAACGACAATATCATATGTTGTGTACAGTATCATAATTAATGTAAAAAAAATACTTTTGTTTAATCATTAACGATTATATTGTAACTATTAATATTATTCGTAATTATTGCTCTATTGTTGTTATATTATTTAAACGAAAAAGAAGATATCTATATACATCGAGTACATTGGAATAGGATTTCCGAGCGATCTTTTCGATTGAATTTGCACGGAAATTCACGGTGCCAAATTTTTTAATACTTTTTTTGCCTAATCTGTTATATTTGAGATATCATTAAATTGTTCATTCACACAAATACTGTGCAAATAGATTACATATCCGATACGTTATCTAATGAATTTGTTATATTTTACATGTAGATGTGTATCGCAACAAACAAAAATTCCAAAATTTTTGTAACAAGCATTAGTATTCTTTTGAAATTTGTCATTTTACAATTTTTTTATTTGCATGCTCTATGAAAATTAGCTGAAATGCCTGACAGTTTTTAGCGATTGAACGACTTAACGTTACGTTTTAAATGATAAACTCGCGACTTTCTCCGCACAATCCTAGTCTTTTTATTGCTCATTAACACATTGTTTCCGACTGTGAATAATTTGCCCGAAGCCATCCGTCGAGCCATGGATATAGAGAAAAGAGGGACACGTTTGTCAGGTGTATAAAATGCTCTTACGAAAAGTTTTATATATAAAAACGATCTGCCGAATATTTTAATGATTAACAAATTAATCATATTATGTTTTTTTCTCGCAGAAATTTTATCGTTATTCGCGTTCGCGATCTTTTTTCCTCATATTATGTTCCTGAGCACACACTCATAGAATTATTGGATGTGACGTTATTAAATTTAAACAACTTACGATCAGCAATAGAACAGTTTAGAATGTCGTTTAACAAGTTACGTTTCTTTCTCTCTTTTTCTCTCTCTCTCTCTCTTTTTGATACATATAGTATACTGTTCAGTGAAACATGCAATAATTACATTATTATCTAATGTTGTTAGTTGAGTTCACGGGACAACTGCTTGAATATTAAACGATTCCGGGTTGTTTATCGATTTCTCTTTGTTTTATAACATCTAGTTATTTATAATGGATTAATATATATATATATATATACATATAATGAAAATGTTAAAAAATTCATTGTTATTGAATGAACTTTTTATTACAAAACAGCGATATTGTAGAATTTCTCTTATAGTTGTGCAATACGATGCATTGCGAAAGTCATTGTAGATATAAATAATCTCATGTAATGTTACAATGCGCATTGCACCATGCGAACTCTTTTTAAGAACGCGTAATGTATGAGAAATGATATTTCGGTTAGAGTCTTTACGCAAAATATTGGAAAATATATTTGAAGAAGAGAGGAAACTTTGCCCTAATTGAACGTATGGCGCAGCGTTGATCAAGTAAACTGCTTTGATAAAACATTTCCAGTTATTTACATGTACGTATATTGCAGATAATTGAGCGTAAATTTGAATGTAATTGGAATTCTTATTGGCCTTATTTAAAAACGAAGGAGTCGGTTAGATCATTATATTCGTGATTATAAATATTTTTATTCTTTTGCTCAAGTCCTTTGCATTAAGAAAATATAATAAAAAAAAGATAAAACATTGATATTTGCATTTTTTGATTTATGCTCTCTATTCTTGACGAATACAACTAACATATTTATCAGCTCAGACTTTAATGCTTCTCTCTAATAACGCTGTACCATACAGAAGTTCGACTGGTGCATAAAATGCCTCGGTAAAGACTCGTGATCGAGCGTTTTTTTTCTTCAGGTCTGTAGTTACCACGTTATACCAGTCAGTGCCCTTTGTAAATTGTACCACTTGTAAATAATGTTCGCTACGATTACGTTGTAAATCAGTAGGCGGTGTTCTTCGTTAGCTATGAGTTATTACGTGAGCTTCAACAAGCACGTTCGATTAAACACTCTCGTCCTCCGTCGACCGACCAATCGATCGTCTTAACAACCCGGCCGAGAAAGAATGTAAAATAGTGCCAAAGAAACTGAACCGAAATGATGTTCAAATAGTAAGAAGTACGGTAATATCAATCGCGGTAATATCAATCGATATATGTAACACACGCGGCTTAACTTAAACGTAACAGGCCGGTTTCTTTCGCGATCGTCGCCGCCCTTAAACTCGAAACGACACAATGTTGCCCAAGTAAATGCATTCTTGTGAAAGTAAGTGCTCTTAATGTCACGTTTAACGTTTAACATTCGCACCTTAATTATTGTTCTATTATCGTTTCGCGAGAAAAGACGTTACTAGGAGTGATCGCTGTTCCCTAAGGCCAGTATTCATAGTCGATTCTTATATTTAACATTTATATTTAAAATATTACAAGCCAATTATAGAACCTCATCAGGATTGCCACAAAATTGGACATTAGAGAAATGTCATGGTAATTTAAAAAACCTTTGTCATGGAAGTTAAAAACGGTCAAGAAAATCAGAGAAAAGTCGGGGAATTTTGCAAAATTTTTTGAAAAATGAAAATTCTTAGATTTAAAGAATGTGCATACATTTACAATTTTGGAATACTGTCAACTTAACAATTAAATGGAAGAAGTGTCAACAACATTAATAGCAATTTACATTGCTATGTTAAATTATTCATAATAAAACGTTTGACGGTTTCCAAATCAAAACAAAAATATAAAAAATTTTAAAATGTTATTGAAGCATAAGGAAAAATCATTCAATGAAATTTTGACTGAAAATCAGGGAAAAATTATTGAATTTTAAGATGAGAAATTTATGATAACTGCTTATTAGCATCTTAAGACGCTACTATTTAAAACGATCTTAAAATAAGAATGGGCTATGAATACCAATCCTAAATGAATGAAAAGGCATTATTCTCTCTCGATCGTTTCTATAGAGCGAGCAAAATCGTGTGACACGTTCGTAGTTTACGAAGTGTATGAACACACATTTCATACAGAAGTGTCTCGCACAAACGAAAGAGTATATGCTTGCTCCGCGGAAGAGAATCAAAACTTAGCTAGGAAATAGTCTCCTTCCCGTTAACTGGAGGAGCAAGGGGGAATCATTTGATTCTGTTGGAGGAGAAACTTTCCTCGAGTAGCCAATCTCGGTAGACAGCATTATTCCTCTTTGGTTGAAATTTAGATTGAAACTCCACTTCGTAAAGTATAACGTCCACGATGTTTGTTCAACAGATAGGAGGTCGGTGCGCGACGCATCGAGCGAAAGATCTTTGCCCTTATTTCTAAACGCGTGTCGTCGTTACACGCTCGATACTGCCTCCAGAATCATCCTAGATGTCATCGAGCCGTGTTCCGTCTGTGTTCGGATGAGCGATGCTTCGCGGATGCGTATATCCATGCTCAAAAGGTCCAAACGACGCTCGAACTTCGTCTCTGTCTTTCTCTCTCTTCTCATCTCACGCTTCTTCTTTCTCACTCTTTCTCGATTTATCGGAAACTCCAAGTGCCAATATTAGTGAAATGTGAATACTAAATGTATATACATACACACAAAACACACACACACACACACATATACACACACATTAGTAGCATAATTTTACGTGCATTATCTCTTAGTGGTATGTGCAAAGTTGATAGAAAATATTTCTATGCAAATTTCGGCTTCGAGAACTCACGGTTTTCTTCTCAACAATGCGGTAATGAGATTGCCGAAATTATCCGAGACTCGAGTCGAAGATAAGTGTAATAAGTGCCGAAATCAAGGGATCTGTAGAGATTAAAAGTTATGTACGGTTTTAGACAACTCGGTTTTTGTCTCTTCGTTTCTCCTACATTTCGCCCGTCTGTTTTTTTCTCAGTCGAGAATCAACCATTCAATCTCGCAAAATCCTCGAGCAAGCAATCTTCACGTTTATAGAACTTTCCCGGAGGCAACGTGAACTCGGGGAAGATATCTTTCTAGGATGATTGAGTTCCATTTAATTGAATTCCTCGGCGAATCGCTGTCAAAATTTCTTCATGGTCTTTCCTCTGTCGCATTCCTTCGCAGGCGTTTCGGGTCATTTCCCTCGCGTTTCTTCATGAGTCGCACAACAGAAAGTTAATTGCACTCCCAGAAAAACTCGTCCTCGTCAAAAGTATCGGTCTCGAAATAATACTTTGTGAACTTACAATTTTTGTGAGGAGCGACAATCATAAAAAACCAATTTTTTAGCTGAACTTTTTGCATGGTTCATCTCCTTTTTTTCTCCAACGTGCGCACAGAAAATATTCTATTGCTAAGAAAAGTGATTACTCAATTTTCTTTCTTCTTTTTAAGAAACGGTTGTCTTTAGGAACATTTTCTTTATAATCTTAAAATATATTTATTACAACAAATTTTAAAAAAACTTATTATTATGTGTTTATAAAGAATTTATTTTCTTTTAAAGAACACTGTTAGAAATGCTTTTTTTACATGCAAATAAAACTCGTTATGAACGAAATTAAAAGTAATGAATGATTTAATTGAAAATTAAGTTATAGTAGTTACTTAAATGTAATGAACGTGTACATTGAATTTCATAAATTTTCATGAAAAATACATTAAATTTCATGTACATGTACACAAATATACTTTTCAGTTACAAATACATTAAATTTAATGTAATGTGAAATTAGGTTCAAATTGTGTATCTTAAAAGTATATTAAATTTTATAA